GACACCTCTCCCCACCCCCTCCCCCACCATGGACACCTCTCCCCACTCCCTCCCCCACCATGGACACCTCTCCCAAACCCCTCTCCCACCATGGACACCTCTCCCCACTTCCTCCCCCACCGTGGACACCTCTCCTTCTCCCCCACACCCTCCACCCCGAATACAGCTGATTTCCAGGAGCCCCACAGCAGTGAGTGTGGCATTACCTCAGTGACAATATCGTGCACCCTGCCCTCACTAGGGCAGTACACGGGTTGGTACATCAGGCCCCGGGCACTCGATACCGTGGATATTCTGCCGTCAGGCTTTTGATGGCTTAAAACAAAACACAGAGAGGAAACCAGGTGAGGGGACAGGTCAGAGACAAGCACTCCACCAGCAGGAAATGAGCTACCCCTTCAGTTGCTGCGCTGTGCAGCTACAGTACAGTCACTCAGCTGGTTACACAGCAGAACCACCCTCCTCTGCAAGCTAAGGGGTTTGAGCATGGAAGTTTAATTCAGCTAAATATGAGATGCTGCATTTTGGGAAGACAAACCAGGCAGGAACTACAGAGGGCCCCTGGGGTGTGTTGCTGTACAAAAAGACCTGGGAGTGCAGGTGCTTGGTTCCTCGAAAGTGGAGCCGCAGGTAGACAGGGTGGTGAAGAAGGCATTTGGTATGCTAGTCTTCATCGGTCAGAGCATTGAGTACAGGAGTTGGGATGTCATGTTACGGCTGTACAGGATATTGGTGAGGCCACATTTGGAGTACTGTGTACAGTTCTAGTCGCCCTGCTACAGGAAGGATGTTATTAAACTGGAGAGGATGCAAAAATCATTTACAAGCATGTTACCGATTTTACTGGAAGGTTTGAGCTATAGGGAGAGGCTGGATAGGGCTGGGACTTTTTTTTCCCTGGAGCATCAGAGGCTGAGGGGTGACTTAATAGAGGTTTATAAAATCATGAGGGACATAGATAAGATGAATAGCCAATATCTTTTCCCCAGGATGGAGGAGTCCAAAACTAGAGGGAATGGGTTTAAGGCGATAGGGGACAGATTTAAAAGGGAACTGGGAGGGTAACTTTTTCACACAAAGGGTGATGCATATATGGAGCGAACTGCCAAAGGAAATGGTAGGAGGGAGTATGGTTACAACATCTAAAAGACATCCGGATAGGTACATGGATAGGAAAGGTTTAGAGGGATATGAGCCAAATACAGACAAATGGGACTTGCTCAGTTTAGCAAACTTGGTCAGCATGGATGTGTTGGGCCGAAGGGCCTGTTTCTTATGAGTCTATGTGGTAGGTGTTGGACCCTCAGCGGGCAGAAAGAGCCCACCCACTGGGTCCAGATGGGGTTGGAGGGGATGTATGGATCTAGTCAGAGCTGGGCACAGAGCTAGTACCCATGGTTCTGGTAGATAGTCCCCAGACATCAAGTACAAACCACATCATGGACGAGACTGAGAGGTTCCACTGAGGATGGGCAGACAGTGGTGAGAGTGAGAAGGATCTCCATTGTACCCAACAAGGGTTCACACTATCAGAGTGAGCAGAGAGAGCGATAGAGAGAGGCAGGACGAGGATGACAATAATGGTGAAAACGAGGGTAAGGCATTTAATGGACACCATGAGTGAGAGATTGACACAATAACATCATATTTCTGGGACATTGCTACAGAGGTGGACTCAGTTCATCAATGGATTCTGAAACCACAGGGAGATCCACTTTTTCCCATCACTTCAATTACTGCTCGAATGATAGTTCATGGTTAATGTGGACCATCTGAAAGTTGCAGCACTCCCTCAGCACTGACTCTCCGACAGTGCAGCACTCCCTCAGTACTGACCCTCCGACACTGCAGCACTCCCTTAGTATTGACCCTCTAACAGTGCGGCATATACTCAGTACTGACCCTTCGACAGTGCAGCACTCAATCACTCTTTACTTTTTGATAGCACAGCACTTCCTCACTACTGACCCTCTGGCTGTTCCATAATCCCATAATCCGTCCATCAGTTCCACACACCCTCAGCACTGACCCTCTGACAGTGCGGTATTCTCACAGTACTGACCCTCTGACAGTGCAGTGTCAACCATGTCAACCTACGTCAACCATCCAGTGTTTTCTCAGTATTGACCCACAGACTGAGCGGTGTTCCCTCCGTCCTGACCATCCAACAGTGCTGTATTCACTCATGACTGACACTCCAAATGTGCAGCACTTCCTTAGCACTGATGGTCTAACAGTGTAGAGCTCCTTCAGTACTAACCCTCAAAAAGTGCAGTAAGCCCTCAGTATCAAATCTTCGACAGTGCAGCACTCCCTCAGTACTGACCCTCCGACAGTGCAGCACTCCCTCAGTACTGACCCTCTGACAGTGCAGCACTCCCTCAG